CAGGCAATAAGTAGTTGGGCAAGCAGTAGAGATTCTGGGACATTATTGTTGTCTCCCCTTCTTTCTCTTTGCTTTCCCTTTTCCAAATAAGCTCTTTTTTATATCTGTAGAGTTGTCTATACAGTATCTGTAGAGTTTTAGAAATGAATTTCTCATTCAAACTTTCCCTGTTTATGCAATTGCATGGTTGCACAGCTGTTCCTTGTGGTCAGCGACTGGCACTAGGTTTCTTAAATTCTGTATTTCCGGCCTTTTTTTCAGTTTTTCTAGAGCTGGACTGCAGGAAGAAATCCAGAGCAGAGGAGCTAAGTTCTCCCCAGACAGACAAACAGACAGGGCCCCCCAATAAATTCTGTTTACTGGGGAACTTTTGCCCGGGAGGATTTAAGTTATCCCAGTTTGTAACACTTTCTCAGTCCTACTTGGTTTTGAATAAAGGAAGCAAGTCCTTTCAGACACATTATACCTGAACTTCAGGTCTTTCTGCATCTAAATATCATTTATTCAAGCACAGGGCACTTGAAGGGAAGAATAAGTCTTGCCTCCAAACATCCTAGGAGTGATGGCTAATCAAGGACAGACAACACCGCTCTCAGTCAGATTTGGATCTTGAATCAAGGAGACATTCCAGGGAGGCTACTTCTAGCAATAAAATTGAGGTAGGGGTGACTCGCCTTTTTTGTGCTCTTTCATTATAGTTCTCTGCTACATAGAAGCAACGCAGTCCGTCATGGTGGCATTTTCTGGGCTGTTTGAAAAGTAAACATTGAACAGCAGAGATAGACATTTGGCAAAGAGAAAGGGAAGGATTTCCCCAAGGTTTCCACACACCACACCCACATTTCAAGTTAATAATTCCATTTCTTGTAAAAAGGAAAGTCCGTCATGGTGGCATTTTCTGGGCTGTTTGAAAAGTAAACATTGAACTCAGCAGAGATAGACATTTGGCAAAGAGAAAGGGAAGGATTTCCCCAAGGTTTCCACACACACACCCACATTTCAAGTTAATAATTCCATTTCTTGTAAAAAGGAAATAGCTATCTGCTCTAACAGGTTAGATCAGGGCATGGTTTGCTGATCCTGTCCTGATCTCCATGGGTTCAAGCGTCAGCCCTTCAAGATAGACCAGACTAGGAAACCAAAATCATATAGGCCTGTACTACTTTCATTGTAAAGTTATAGTAACACAATCTTGCAAGTCTGAACACGCTTCCCCCCTCCCTCCCTTTACCTTTGTGTGAACTAGGAAGCGGCTTGTCTGAGATGTTTACTCAGGCTACATTCCTGCCCCAGACTCAGGTTTCTTTTATCCGACAGTTGCCTTGGCAGAGGTTCTTCCTCCTGTCTGTCAAGGCCATTCCCTCTGCCTTCTATATCAAGGGTAATTCTGCATGGCCCACTCAGATGCCCCTGAAGCCCTGCTAGCTCTTCCAGGGACCCTCCAGTTTTTAGGATCAGGGTTCAGATATACCAGTGTTTCTCAACCTTGGCAACTTTAAGATATGTGGACTTCAACTCCCAGAATTCCCCAGGCAGCATGGGATTCTGGGAGCTGAAGTCCACAAATTACACAGGGTAATTTCTGGAGACTAGTGTCATGCCCAGGCAAATGGTTCTTTCTTTGCCAGCTGAGCCTGGTGGAAGAAGATGAACCTGACATATGAATGTGTGAATAGTCTCTAGCTTGTTTCCACCAAATGCATGGATTGCATGGTTGAAGGGGGAAAGAGAGTTTGTGTGAATGGCAATGCCCTTGATCTCCATACATGCTGCAAAGTATGTGTGCATAACCTTTCAGTAATAGCAGATGGCAGCCAAATTTTGCCTAATGTTGAGAAAACTAAACAGTCTGATCTGGTTAATGCTTGGACAGGAGACCACTAAGGGATCCCAGGGCTGTAAGCTAGGCTGGGCTAAAAATAAAACAAAAACAAAAAACAAACCCCACCATGAACAAGGCAATGGCAAGCTATTTCTATATGGTTTCCATGAAAACAATATTATTTTTAGTGATCAGAAGTTAAGCCCAACTCAGGGATGTTTACACTTTCTAAAAATGTTACCCTTTGTAGTTTAAACAAGGAATTCTGGTCATATATTCCATTTGCATCTTCCACTGAATGCAGGAACAGCAGATGTGAGATCAGCATCAACTGCAGGAATAATGCGCTAGCCAAAATCAGCGCCCCTCCTGTTGGGCGCAATCATGGTGGGAGGGGGCTTGTCCTTGTGCAGGCATACAGTTGCTAATTGGCTAACCATTCTTGCTCACATCAGCGGGTTACACCCATGTGGGGAGCTAACCAATCAGCCACCGTACCTTGGTACCATATGGGGAAAATCTTCCTCCTCCAGAATCTCCCAGTGTTTTCTGACAAGCATGGAAATTCTCCAGTTGTCTTTCCAGTGGCCAGCGGTTCCTAATGCCAAACTGGGTCACTGATTTGCCCTCATCCATTCTATCTTAACAAATACATCTCTTTTTGTAAGCCACTAATGTTTCTGCCCAAAGGGGATAAATAACACTATCTGTCAATATAGTTCAAGCAATCTTGCTTAAATCTTGCAGGTAGCATTCCATGCAAATAAACAAATTCGTTCTTATAATGTTCTATCTTTGTATTTCTTTTTCATAAACTCAAAAATAGTAAAATGCCTCTTGTGCCTGAGATACCTGAATGCGTATTGTCTCTATATTTAATAATTTTCTAATCATAGCTTAAAACCAGCAAAATTATGCAGTGAAAGCAACTAGAGCCGTATTTTTCAAACTTGGCAGCTTTAAGAATTCTGGGAGTTGAAGTTCACACAGATTGAAGTCGCCAAGTTTGAAAAACACTGAACTACAGCAAACAGGTGAATTAAGGTGAGCAACAAGGCTTGATTCATACATTGCACCAAGCCATGGTTTCTTTAACTATAATGTTTTGAATAAACCACAAAGCATTGGGTTCACACAGTATAATCCAAACCACATCCTAGCTTAGCATGTTAGAATCCCAAACACTGTATCATCAGAAATTTAAATCAGTGTGAAAGATGTTGTCCTGTCAAGCCCATTTCCTCGTGATGACGTGGACACGTCTACGCAGTTTTCTTGGCAACAAATTAGGAAAATGAAAAAAGGAAGAAGTGGGGAAAAGTGTAGAATTCAGAGAAAGGCAGAGTTTGTTTCAAGGAAAAATAAAAAAGGAAATTGTAGTGCATGATTCATCGGTGTACTTTACTTAGGACATGGAGAATGATTTATTTGCTGGTATGATAAAGTCAAGGTTAATGTGGATTTTAAAAATCATTATGTTAGATGTGTCATATTGAGAATATGGAATAGATACAAACCCAGATTGTGTCTGAAAACAGCTTTGTGGATCTCAGCACAAGAAGCGTTTTATAGACGAGAAATAATAGGCAAACACAGATGGCTAACTGATCATGAGATACTAGCATATTGTCAAGGGGAATATAAAATAAAATCAAGAGACGAACTGGTGACAGAGGGATATAGTTGTCAATGGTTCTCTTATTTACAATTATTAGAAAGGTTTAACGTAGACAAAAGAATTTATGTTTTTGAACATTGTAAGACTGAGTTTGAAATAGAATTGTGTAC